AAAGGGGTAGTGGTTATGTGAATATATGTATTTACCAAAAGTCTGGTTGCATGTTTAAGACCTGAGTGCTACATGGCAACATGCATATGTTACAACAGTAAAAAGAAAAAATCCCAGGAGCTGGAGAGATGGCTCAGAGGTTAAAAGTGTAAATTGCTCTTGCAGAGGACCTGAGTTCAGTTCCCAGGACCCACACTGAGTGGCTGACAACTGACTATAACTCCAGTTCCAGGGAGTGCAATGTCTGGCTTCCCCAGGCACCTGTACTCTCCTGCACACGCATATACATGATTAAAAATAAAGTAATTCTAAAAAGAAAAATAGGAAATCCCTCATATTCTGTTATGTGCAGAGCTGTAAGGTACATTATTAACATTGTTAAAAGAAAAGAGTAGATCAGTGTGTAGTATACAGCCTTTTGTTTTAAAGGGGGAAATGTATGATTTATGTGTTTTCACATAGACAATGCACAAATCTATACTCATGTACATAACATTCCACAACCATTATATCCTACAAACAGAACATAAGACATAGAAAGAACCTGGATTTTTTTTCCTCTCTGTGCCTTTAAATTTATTCAGTGAAACTAGTCCATCTCCCCACCTCTTACTCTTGAGTTAAACACTGGCAGTTCTGGAGTCTTCTCTGGCTACTCTTAGGTACTGTGTTGTGTATCCTCCACTCCTGCTGGTCATTTGGGAGGTCCTCTTGGGTACCTAGTGGGGCAGTATGCAGCCTCATTCTGCTGAGGCCCCCACTGCCTTCCATACAGCTGCCTTAGATACGGTCGGCAGAACCTAACAATGTGGACCCAGCATGTGTAGCCTATCTGGACCTCAAAAAGCCCTCATACATGCCTTGTCCCCGAATAAGGCCATGGTGGCAGATACTCCCTAATCAAAGCCATGCCCCCATCCAGATGTTGCAAGGTGCCTCACACCCCTTGGGATTCTGTTTACTGTTTTCCATGAAATCCTCTTCATCTAACTTAGGACATAGGAGAGGTGCTTCTCATCTTCTTCCCCTTGGGGATGAAGTCTCAGGACAGTTCTCCTAGCCAAAACAAACTCTAGTACTGTTTTCACAATGACTGCTCTTATCAACAACTGAACAGGACTGAAATTCAGTTTATGATGTTTATGAAAAAACCAAATCAGCCAAAGAGGGAGATCTCAGAACAGAGTATAGATAAATGATCTAACTATGTAAAATGGACGACAGTAGAGCATGGTGACACAAGCCTTTAATCCCAGCACTGGAGAGGCAGAGGCAGAGGCAGGCCCTCTCAGGGAATTTGAGGCCAGCCTGGTCTACATAGGGAGTTCCATGAGATCCAGGGCTATGGAGTGACACCTGTCTATAAGTAAGTAAGTAAATAAATAAGTAAATAAATAAATAAGTAAATAAATAAACAAACAAATAAATAAACAAATAAATGTAGGGCAGCCTCACTGAAGCAGGTAGAAAGAAAAAGAGCTGTCCGAAGTAGCTTTGGGAAACATCTTTGTCCCTAGGAAGTGTAGGCTAAAGACAAGAAGGGTTGTTTGTAAAGAGCATGCTGGAATTAGAGAACTCGTTGACCACAGGGGTCTTGATATTACTGCAAGGATGCAGCCAAACCACTGAACTAGACTACTCCATGAGCAGAAAGAAAGTTTTATTGGGATCAAACTGCCCAAGCTATCTCTGGGGGTGGGGGTGGGGTGGAGAGAAGAGGAAAACTGCAGAGAAGCCAGAGGATTTCACGTAAGTCAGCAGGGTGGGCTCTTTGATCTGGTACAGGCTGTTTGGTTTGACCAGAAATGAGATGCCCTTTACCAAGGTAGTTAATCTTTGTTGGGGGGTGGGGTGGGGCTGAGGGAGGTTCCTGGTAGACAGAAACCTACCCGTTCACTCAACAACAATCCTTCTGTACCCCACCAAAGTCCTTCTGTTTAGAGCCTTGTCGCCAGCACTGCCGTTTTAAGGGGGGGGGGCACTTTGGACCAAAATTGACAGGCAATTATGAATTTTTTGTTTGTTTTGTTTTGCTTCATCTGGGTTTTTTGAGACAGGGTCCTGGAGCTTCCTGTGTAGACCAGGCTACCCCCTAATTCACAGAGACTGCCTGCCTCTGCCTCCCCAGGCTGGGTCCTGGCTTGACCAGCAATTCTGAAGCTTTACACTAGGGTTGAGGATGGAAGGGTCTACGTGAGTGACACCCCTCATCAGGGAGCAAATCCAACAACTGGCTCCTGGCTTCTAATTGACCTTTTACAAAGGATTCCTAGACAAATAGCTGAGTGGATGAGGTCTCAGATGAGGAAAATGCCAGCTAATTCTGGTATCATCTTGTACAGCCAGAATATAAAGAAATGATGGAGGAGGGAGAGGAGGAGGAGGAGGAGGAGGAGGAGG